GGCGCGGTCGCCACCCGCGGGCCCAGGTAAGCGCCCTGGGGAGGGGGCTCTCCCGGCCGAGCAGCTCGCCGCGGCCCAAGTGCGAGAGCTGTTTGGGCTGGGTGCGTCCACCGATGCCTTACCAGAGCAAGTAACAAATCTGCGGGCGGCGGGCCGACTACCATCTTTGTCCTTTGGTGGCTGGTTTACGCTCTACCTACTCAGTCTTCCTTATTAGTGAACGACCTGCGTAGGGTTTTTCACCCGTTTCGCACCGCGAGGGTTTTTCACACGTTTCGCAGGTACGATTTCAGCCGATGCCGACCGCACCCCTCGCGGGCCTTGCGGGTGCGAGTGCACGAGTGACCACAGCAAAGGTAAAACAGTTACCGATATTCTTGGTCACCCCATAAACGGGAACTGAGCCGAACGCCTCATTGGACGACTTGGGTATCAGCCCACACGCTAGCGCTCCACCATTCGAGCAAATCGCGACGAGGCGTGTGGAGTGCGATGGGATGTGGCCGTGCTATCTCCAGCATGGACATATCCACTGCCACATTGCACGACCTGGCGAATCGACAAATGCACCGAAAGTGAGAGCGGTGAATCCCAGCCGACGCCATCCAGTTTCCGACTACGCTATTGACGGACTGTTCTGGTTACATGACCACGGTGTCCATTTTTCCTCATGTCCCTACGATCGTCATACCTTTCCTTCACCGCATTCCCACTTGGGTCCGCCAATGAAGATCTTAAGTCTTCCCCTTTAACCTCTCTAGAGGCAATGCTGGTTGTTGAACGAGATAGCCAGAAAACTGATGCCCACCGGCACACACGGTGGGTACAGCAAGGCGATTGGTGTGGAGCAGTGACAAAAGCGACAATCGAACCGTCAGTTGAAGTCGTCGCAGATGTTCACCCCACTTACCTACGGACGGTGGCAATCGGTTGCTCGAGCCACCTGTTTTATTTGGGGATCGGCAACTGTCGGACCAACACTACTAGTTCCACAAGCGAAGCTGCTACCAGAAGTGGGGTTCGAACCTACGTGACCACCGGCACGCACGGTGGGTGCGGCAAGGTGATTGGCAATCGAACCACCACTTGAAGTCCTCGCGGGGTCTCGAGGCCGACGCTGGCATGGCACTGGTCGGAGGGTCGTCTCCAGTGCTAACCATTGCACCATTGCTAACCATTGCGCCTTCTTGAAGATTTTTTCATTGCTACGTGTCGTTTCCTCCACGGCTGAGCTGGCTGCGCAACAGGGCACACATGAGGGGTCTCGTCCGGCCCACCAGTAGCCTTGATCTCGTTCGGCATAGGGGCAGTAGTAAAATCGGCCCGAGGTAGTGCAGTTACGCCGGTGCAGGGCGGCGGCCAGCGTTTTCTGCCTGTGAAATAGCCTCAGGTTGTCCCCCGGGAGTCGTCAGCCTTCTTAGCTTAGGGGTACAGCGTTCGCTTTGTAAGCGAAAGGTCGTCGGTGCGATTCCGGCAGACGACTTGCTTCCATCACCAACCGAGATCTGACCGTCTTCAGTCTGTTGAGTGGCCTTAGGTTGTGCGCCGATAGGC